GCGGCCACGGTCAGATTCTGAAGGAGGCCCCACAGCAGCCCGGGGGCTTCCTGGAGCCACCTGCCCTCCTCCTCCTCCTCCTCCTCCTCCTCCTCCCGATCCCAGCCGCAGGGACAGGCAGGGGCTGCTGGGCGAGGGTAGCCCTGCTCGGGCGGCCGCCACTCGGGCACCGAAGCGGGAGGCGAGCCGAAGATCGAGGCGGCCGAGAAAGCGGCAGCTACTGAGGAGCCCCGGGACGGAGGCCGCTCCGCTCGGAAGGAGGCCGCGGGACGAGGAGGAGGAGGAGGAGGCGGAGGAGGAGGCGAGGCCGCCGGCGACCTCCCTCTGCCACTCCGGGGCTGCTGTCGACCTGCCGCGGCACCCCGGCAGCCCTCTGCGCATGCGCCCCTCGGCTCCCCGACTTCCGGCGGGTCCGGCGCTCCGGCCACGGGACGCCCAGAGCGCCTGCGCGAAGGCCGCCCTCTTCCGGTCTGCCGGTGGACCATTGGCTGGAACTGGGCGGCTCTCAGAGGGGCGGGCTTGAAGGCCCGGGATGCTGGGAGTTGGAGTCCACCCCGTCTTAAAGTTGTCGCGGTGGAGCAGAAGTCTTCAAACTTGGCAACTTTAAGACTGGTGGACTTCAACTCCCAACTGGCTGGAGGATTCTGGGAATTGAAGTCCACCAGTCTTAAAGTTGTCATGTGCGGTGGAGGAACACTAGCAACGTTATATAGTTTAGTATCGTTTTATCCCAGCTTCATTGTTTTTACAGATAACATGCATGACACCCCTTCCTCCCCTTATTGACACGGATGGACAGAGGGACCCCAAACAGCATCATCAATAAAAAGCGCAGAGCTCCATAAAGGAGAGACGTCTTGGCCTTTGGGGGAGCCTGGGAAGGGCGCCCCCGGTGGGGGTGGCGGGTAATCGAAGGGGAGGGCAGTGGAAAGACAGGGAGGCCCGTTCCCCAGAGCGCCTGGTGTGATGGGCAGGATGGGGGCAAGGAAAACAGTGGGGCCTCCTGTCCAAAGGAAAGAACCGGAGGACCAACAAAGCAGCTCACACCTGGCTCCTGCCTCTCCAGGACGGACGGACGGACGGATGGATGGGCATTCACCATTTGCTGACCCCATCATACTAGGGGGGAGGGAATGCAATTTTAGGAAATTGCTCATCCTGAGAACAATATCAAAGGGCCCATAAAATAAAACAAGATAAATGTTCCTCCTGCTAAGGAAGGTGGGACCATCAGCTTCAAAACACTGATCAGCAGAAATAGAGAAGTTGTCAGGTAATGAGACGACTCAAAAGTATCTGCAAAGGTTGCATATGCAGAAATAATACGGATAGGAGGTTCAGGTCTTTGTACAGAAGATCTCTGGATTTACGGGATCAGCATCACGTCAGGGTGAGCGATCCTATCAGCTACGGTTTTGGAAAAAGCCATGCAAAATGTAGAGATGGCTCAACCTTCATATTTAACAAAGACTTTCATGGATTAGACATAGACACAAGTTTCATATGTATAATAACTTTAATGAAGAGGAAAATGAACTTCAGCTGGATGCAATATGGCACCTGCAGTGTGGCCAATACGGAATAGAGAGTTGCCCCACGCCTGGCAACTGTTTCTATGCTATTTTTGCCACATGACTAGAACTGTTCCAGAAAAGCCACAAAGCCCCATTTAAGGTAGCCTGGAGAAAGTATTGGGTGGCCAATGGGGTGAACTGAGATTTCTGCAGCTTAGCGTATCCGCCTGCCCCAGCGTCTCCTGGCTCTAGTGGGCAGCCAGCAGGTGCTCCGTGCTTTCCTTCTCTGTGAGTCCATGGAGCAGCTCCAGAGACTCAACAGGTGAAGAGTTTGATTGTTCTTGCTGCTTTCGCAAGCGCCTGAGGTTCTGCTGGCGGATTGGGGTGGGCTGGCTGGAGCACAAGGGAGAAGCTGAATGCCATGGATGGTCTCCAGGAGAGCAGAGACCTGGCAGGTACAGGACAAGGCCAGGTTCGGGGTGGGGGGCATCATTATTTTACTGCCAATTAACACAGCAGCCCTAGAAAACTTTGCTTGGGATTAGGGGATGGTAGTGGCAGCCTAAAATGGCCAGTGAGAGCTGGGTGAACCTCAGACCTCAGGGTCATCAGCCACATCCTGGGTGAAGCATCTTAGGTTGTATTCGTGGCCAGAGCTATGTTGGGAGAAGAGAGAGAGAGAGAGAGAGCACCCCTTGTTGGGCTGAGTAGCCAAAGGCTGCAGATTTGTTGGGCTGGGGAATGAAATAAAGGCAATGCCTTGAGGACCTGGCCTTTAAGAATGGTTAGCAGGGCATCTTCATGTGACGATTAGGAGGAAGATGAGGTGGCACCTGCCCATTGTTTTAAGACTGGACAGAAGAGGTGGGCCAACACAGCTTTGTTTTACCCAAAGGTGTAGAGCAGGGCCTAATGGAAGCAGACTTCTACCTTTACCACTGTGACTGTTGTATTCAGAGCCGAGGTGGCGCAGTGGTTAGGGTGCAGCACTGCAGGCCACTTCAGCTGAACTGCTATCTGCAGTTCAGCGGTTC